TCGAGTCTCATAGCCAAGGGTCTGAATACTTATGTAATTGTGGTATTTCAGTTTTTTGCAATAATTTCTAAAAACCTGTTTTTGCTTTGTCATTATGGGGTATTGTGTGCAGATTGATGAGGAAATACATGTATTTAATCAATTTTAGAATGCTGTAACGTAACAAAATGTGGAAAAAAGGGAAGGGGCCTGAAGACTTTCCGAATGCACTGTAGCTAGCTAGCCAGCTAGCTTTGTAGCCATGGATTGTGCACCTTCCATTGTTTAGCTAAGTAGCTACCTAGCTAGCTATACACCTATCTAGCTGGTTGATGTTTTCCTTTTGCCACCAGGGCAGAGGAAAGCAACATTCTACTCCACAAATGCTGTTTACATTGATATCCATACTGAATGATGGACTTAAGGGACCTCATGGGCACCCTTAACTTTTTCACTTAATTAAAGTGGGGAAAAGTAGCTAAAGTTAAGACGTTGTCAGCTATACTCATTATTTGAAATGGCTAGCTAACTAGATGGACTGTAAACCAGCCTCAACACTTCATGGTATTTTGCATCCAGGATCCAAACAACCCGTTTTATAATCTTGTGTAATCCACTTTTTGCTCTAATCATATCAACAAGGATGACTATTTGACAGTTTTTACCACCCAAGCGTCTGTACTGCTGTACACTGTTGTAGATCAGTGAGTGTAGCAGACATGAGTCTGGGTGGAGTCCAGGCCCATAACCACAGGGGCTAGATTAGTCTACCCAGAAACTTAACAGGTGCCATACAAATCACAGGCTCCAGTCACTGTCGCCTCCACCATGGATCTCCTCCAGACTGCTGCTGGTGGTGCACTTAGTGCCGAGCTTTGCAGGATATGAGAAAAGGACAAAGTAGACCTTCTACTTCTTATAAAAGCATAGGGTTTATTGTTGCTACCTTGTAGTCTAACCTAGGTGCATGAATAGAAAAACAGACTGGATACGTGAAAAGGTATTCAGCCACTGTGTCACGCTCGTTGATAGACGGATCGGACCAAGGTGCAGCGTGGTATGCGTACATATTCCTTTATTCACTGAATACAGATCAAAACAACAAAATACAAACGACCGTGAAGTTCAACAGGCTGCACAAGCCAAAACAGAAACAAGACCTCAGGCAAAATGGCTGCCTAAGTATGAACCCCAATCAGAGACAACGATAGACAACTGCCTCTGATTGGGAACCACACCCGGCCAACATAGAAATAGAACATCTAGAATTCACACCCTGACCAAACCAACTAGAGAAACAGGGCTCTCAAGGTCAGGGCGTGACACACTGCTGGAGGATAAATGGAAGTTCGTCAAATTGTCAAGACTGAATGCTGTAAGGCTGAGACGTTTTGGCTTAAACAAAATACACAAACAGTGAGCATGCCTCTGATGCGGTCTGATTAAATGTTTGAGTAATTGACTCCCGTAACAATGTTGGTGAGGCTGGCTGAATGTGGAGCTTTCTCAAATATCCCTACATGCTCTCTAACAATTTCTGCTGAAGTCTTAAATGCAGGGAGAGACAGGGAGGAGAGAGAAGTTAAGAAGAGACAGCAAGAGAGAGCGAGAGCGAGAGAGAGAGAGGGAGAGAGAGAGACAGAGACATAGACAGAGACAGAGACAGAGACAGAGAGAGAGAGAGAGAGAGAGAGAGAGAGAGAGAGAGAGAGAGAGAGAGAGAGAGAGAGAGAGAGAGAGAGAGAGAGAGAGAGAGAGAGAGAGACTTTAGGAAATCCCCAAAAATGTCAATTTAAATAGAAACTATAACTACTATACTCATTTTTAGTCAGGGAGAAGCAGACAGCCAGTAAAATCTGAAGACACCATACAATACAGAAGAGGTGAGTAGGAATGAGAACAAGAGTACTGGGCCACATGTGTTTTGAACACATAAAACCATCTGGGAGTTATTGAAGGGGAGGGACAGGCTTGTTGAGCAAGGGGCTGGTGTTTACATGAGTAATAGCTCGATGTCATCATACTGGAATTATAATGTAATTCTGAGGTCATAGACATTATGTAAATAATGGATGCCCTGTTTAGACTACGCCCTGTTTAGACTACCCTCCCTGTTCTCACTGGAGTAGAACATGTTGTTTTGTTGTTTTACATTCACCGTAACCCTTCTTTTCAGGGTTACCACAGCAATAATATGTCAGCCAAAGAACAACGGATCCAAAACAAACAGAATTGCGAAATCTTTCCAAACAAAGTGTGAAAGCAGCGCCATTAACTGTCTTCACTTAGCACTGATAATACTTTTGACCTGGCCTATTATGCAATCCATTCTCAGAGTGATTAATATAAAATAGTATGCCATTCCTAAACTGTTCTTGGATGTCAGAGATGAGATTCTTAAGGAGAAGTGCAGATCTTCCCTGGAGTAGGATATAATTTATGAGTTCATTAATGTTACAGGGCCAGAGAGATGTGGGAACTGTAGGGAGGGATATCTAACGGCATTCCAGGACATCTGTACATCCTGTCCAGCTGACTGTCCTGAAACGGACTCTCACAGATTAATCAAAGCCTCAACACTAAGTCACATACTCTGTGTGTGTATGCGTGTGTGTGTGTATGTGTAGGCTAAAACTTAATAACATACTGTTGAGGTTGTTACCATGACAGACCTGCACAGCTACGGGACTTCGGGTCAGAGGAAGGAGCCAGAGAGCTCCTTAATAAATTGAACAGTTCAGGCCTCATTGGCTGAATTTACACCTCATATGAAAACTGGAAACATTTATGTTGAGAGAGAGAGAGAGAGAGAGAGAGAGAGAGAGAGAGAGAGAGAGAGAGAGAGAGAGAGAGAGAGAGAGAGAGAGAGATAGAGAGAGGGAGAGAGAGAGAGAGAGAGAGAGAGAGAGAGAGAGAGAGAGAGAGAGAGAGAGAGAGAGAGAGAGAGGATTAGGGAATCAGGAAGGCAGATAGTTTTCCCTTTAAAAACAGCAAAGCCTTTGGAGGCAGAAGGCAGGATATGCACAGCTAGACAGATGTCCCCAGTTAGAGACGCAGCCAAGTTCTGTCTTCTCTCTGCTCACATGCCTCACAGTGCACACTTTCAATTAGAGGTTGGCTGACTTGGTTTGAAAGATCTGGGTTGGTTGGGTTGGAAGAGTTTGGTTGGGTGGTGTGTGTGTGTGCATGCATGCATGCGTACGTGCTTGTGGAGGGGGGTTAAGAAGGGGTAAAAACAATGCAAAAACAATGCAAACTAGAATGCTATTTGGCCCTAAACAGAGAGTACACCGTGGCAGAATACCTGACCACTGTGACTGACCCAATCTTAAGGAAAGCTTTGACTATGTACAGACTCAGAGAGCATAGCCTTGCTATTGAGAGAGGCCGCCGTAGGCAGACCTGGCTCTCAAGACAAGACAGGCTATGTGCACACTGCCCACAAAATGAGGTGGAAACTGAGCTGCACTTCCTAACCTCCTGCCAAATGTATGACCATATTAGAGACACATATTTCCTTCAGATTACAGAGATCCACAAAGAACTCGAAAACAAACCCAATTTTGATAAACTCCCTTATCTACTGGGTGAAATACCACAGTGTGCCATCACAGCAGCAATATTTGTGACATGTTGCCATAAGAAAAGGGCAACCAGTGAAGAACAAACACCATTATAAATATAACCCATATTTATGTTTATTTATTTTCCCATTTGTACTTTAACTATTTGTACATTGTTACAACACTGTATATATACATAATATGACATTTGAAATGTCTTTATTCTTTTGGAACTTCTGAGTGTAATGTTTACTGTTAATATCTATTGTTTATTTCACTATTGTTTACTATCTTCTTCACTTGCTTTGGCAATGTTAACGTACGTTTCCCATGCCAATAAAGCCCTTAAATTGAATTGAATTGAATTGAATTGGAGAGAGAGAGAGAGAGAGAGAGAGAGAGAGAGAGAGAGAGAGAGAGAGAGAGAGAGAGATGGTGTGACCATGGTGAGGGGCGTGTGACCGGAGCTGGTGTTGCGTCTCTGGCGAACTCCAGGCTGCTGCTCCTCAAAACCCCGGCACGGCGACCTTTTCCTCCTCACGTCCTGGTCCATCAGCCTTCCTGGGGAGCGGTTGAGGCGTGGGTCCCCCCCATTGCCCTCTCATTTGTACTTTTACTTTTTGCACACACAGCACACGCTCTTGCACACACACAGGCTTACTGAGCGGGCCCTAGTAGAGCCAGCAAGTTGTGTATTGTGCAAGTAGTTGAATTCGTCTGTGAGCTATTTTATCTTCATTTATAGGCTATTTGATATTTTATTTAGAGTGTATCGATCGACCAACGGCCTGTACAGGTCCTGACTGATTCACTCGTTTTTTTAAATATTTTTATACATAGTTAATAATTTAACATTTTAAACATCTTTCTCTTTTGAGACTTTTGTGTGTTTAATATTAACTGTTACATTGTGATTGTTTATTTCACTTGATTTGGCAATGACAACATATGTTTCCAATGCCAATAAAACCTCTTTGAAAGAGCGAGAGAGCGAGAGAGCGAGAGAGCGAGAGAGAGAAACTTTCGACTAAATGTTCCTCATCTTTTCTGGGTAACAATTAAGTATCTTACTGTGATTGTTTTCAATTAAAATGGTTACAAATAAACAAAAATATATTCTTAGCAAAGTGCAATTTCTCAAGCAAGAATTTGCTAGGACTGTCTGGGAGTGGTCTGAGTGGGGAGGGAAAACTGAAAACTAGCTGTTATTACCAAATTAATGATGTCTGATGTAAAAATATGACAAAACACACACAGATGAGCAGGCAGAGGAGGAAAATATGTAAATGAATTTTGTAAATACAACTCTGGATCCAGTCTTCTCCATCACCCTCACTTTAATAAATTCCACCTATTTTTGCACCTGAATCTCTGACTCCAAGCCCAATAGGCTGCCGGGATAATGGAATAGTTCCAAAAACTCCAAGCTAATACTTTATAGTATTTGAAGGTATCTGACTCATGTATTTGACCCAGGTGTACTGGTTGGTTCCCAGACTACAGGTACCTGTATAACCACTGTCCCGGCCCAGAGTGGAACGTCATGTGTCCGGGCTGCTGTGAGTACGACGTGATCCGCTGTAAGTGTCCCCTCCAGGGCACCCCCGTTGGCTACGCTGTGCCTTGCTGCCGCAACGTCCTCAACAAGTGTGACCCCTGCATCATCCACCCAGGTAAACCTGTCCAACACACCACCATGCTGGCTCAAAACCTGGGGAGTCCATCCATTTTGGTTATTTTACCATTCTGGTAAACCCGTGGAGGACTGGTTGAATGCATTCCTGCACGCTGTGTATTCGATTTTATTGACAACAACATGGTCAGATACATTATGCCTTGGTGCTGGATTTGTTAATACATGTTTAATTTGCAAAAATACACAGTATAGGAGGCCATTCTACCAGTACATTTCTGAAATGTCTGCCACTACAGTACCCGTTAGATCCAGCTTAATGTCTTGACTGATGTTGTAGTCTCTGTGCCATCTGCCTCCAAGGCTCTGTTATAAGCCTGGCAGACATACAAGAGCGGTGAGTTTGTGTCAGCTAGAGTGAAATGCAGTGAGTTTAGGCCAACAACATTAGAGAGCGATGCCTAATCCCGATTATTTTCCAGAAAATTTACTTTCGTTAAGTGCATCCCTCTGTCGTGGAAATTACCACCAGGGACACCTGAAGTAAATCTTAAATGAATCATTCTTTATTAACAGCAAGCTGGAGAGGTTCCAAAAAAACTAAATGCACCATAGTACACGTCGGTCGGGAGCTCCCCCGGGCAGTCCCGTTAGTTCTCTTATATACTGCTTACACAGACAAGTTCTATTTCCATGATTTAGCTTATTCATTATTCATAATAAATTCACCATTAACGTTTGGACCGACCAATACCTCACGAGCATTGCTTAATTTGAGATGGATCCTGTTCCGGCAGGAGCCACCTGTCCGTTTTGGACTGTTTTATTCCGTAACCTATTTGGCCGAATCCGGTACCTCTCGTGGCATGAAAAATAATTTTCACTTTTTGCAATGGAAAAATACAAGCGATCAAAATTCATTTGAGTTGCCTCTTAATTAATTCTACTGCCCCCACACAAAAAACGTCATGTGAAAAAGTTGATTTTCAGCTCGGGCCGGCCCAACCCAAATCAACTCATAGAATATTAGGCCCGGGCTGAAAATCAACTTTTTCACATGACGTTTTTTGTGTGGGGGCAGTAGAATTAATTAAGAGGCAACTCAAATGAATTTTGATCGCTTGTATTTTTACATTGCAAAAAGTGAAAATAATTTTTCATGCCACGAGTTTATGGTTTGCGCAACATTATAACCTGTGTTTGAGACCAATGCGTTGCGGTGGCTGTGTGAGAAGCGCGCCAGTATCTCTCACATAACTAGAATGAGATTCACTTTCTATGATCTCTCTCCCTCTCTGCTCTGATAGATATGACACTGCAACTCTCCAGCGTTGCACTTCATCATTTATTTCCTTATAGAATCATAGCTGCACAAAGGGTTCTAGAGGAACTGCAGCACCCCTGATAAATTGAAAAACATTTGCCAAAGTTATAGAATTACTGCTGTCTGTTCAGAAATAAATGAAATAATTCAGAATAGCTTACTACACCACGAGAAGCCCTATAATTTAGCCACAGAGGATCAATAGCTTCTTTTTTTTAAATAGCCTAGCTGTGGATTGTAGCCCAATAACAAGGAATAGCCTACAGTAGGGGACCACGTGGCAAATCTGTCAGTGAAAAAACAGCACGCAGACAAAACAGGCCTTTCACAATATTTCAAATACAATGGAGGGAAAACACAGGTTGGAAAGCAATGACTCCTGCTGAAAAGAGAAGACTCTATGCTGTAGGCTACCAAAATATTTGATCAACTTCCAAATATTGTTTTACAAAAGAGAGAGAGATAGGCTTTTGGCACAAGCATATCGACAATCACCAGCAAGTGATTGAGTCAGTGAAACTGGAAAGCATTTTTAGGACTATAATTTCCTCCTCATATTGTAGCCTACAATATGTGTCTCCACACACCTAGGCCTAGGCTATTGATGGATTTAAGACAAGGTCGTTTTTATTGATCTCAGATTCTCAGTTTGTCAGTGTCAAAGTAGCCTGCCATTTCGATCATTTGTGCATTATTAAAAAAAGATTCTGCCAAAGTCTCCAGTAAAATGACGTAGAATTGCATGAAATGCGTTTTTAAAAGGCCAACATTTTCCCGGACCCTAGGCTACTAAAAATACTCTACTCTACTCTACTGCTCTATGCCACTACGCAAATGCGATGATATGCATGCAATGCTTTATTATAAAGGTGATTTTTTTCTTATGTGTTCCGGTACCTCAGAAGTCCCCAGGTCACCGCCCTCTTGCGCTCTTTTTTATTTCCGGCACCTCCCGATTTACAAATTAAGCACTGCTCACAAGGCTTCTTCTCTCCAAGCTGAGACCTTGAAACTGATACACCCCTTTCGGTCTCAAAACAATGTTCTGGGATAAGAGAAAACAGATTGCTGAAAAGGCACAATGCGTAGTTATAATATTTCACCACAAGATTATTATTGACCTATGGGAATATGCTAATACTTTCTCTTTATATATTCTTAATCTGCTTCATTTTCACATCAGATGTACTCCTCTGCCTGAACTATTTTTTTATTTGTCATTTTAGCAGACACTCTTATCCAGAGCGACTTACAGTTAGTGAGTGCATACATTATATATATATTTTTTCATACTGGCCCCCCGTGGGAATCGAACCCACAACCCTGGCGTTGCAAACGCCATGCTCTACCAACTGAGCTACATCCACACTATTGACACACATACACACGCACGCGCATCCCTTTCCACCCTGAGTGTACTGTATGTAGACGGTGGAGGAGACATGGTAAAGTCATGTGATGTTTACACTGATACCTGTTGGTGTTAATATGTCCTGCTGCTGTATCACTGACGTCCATATCCCTGTCTCCCAGCTTGTCCTCAGGATGTCTGCACTGCAGAGCACCACAGAACCCCAAAAGTGAAAATACATCCGAAACTCAGTCCTTCTGGGGGTTTTCTGGACATTTATATTTCAGGAAGCACAAATGTGTTTTTGCTGTTCTGTTACCCTGTTACAGTGAATGAGGAGCCTGATGAGTTTAGCAGGTCTGAGGTAAAGAGCAAACAGGCACTAAGGGGAATACAGTAGAGGTATGTGGCCGATTTGAACCGAACAGTCATTGGGAACGGTCAAACCAAAACTGTGACTGAATGCATCACACTTATGGTGAAGAGGTTTTAGACATTTCAGTGTTCAGTCAGCACTATGTAACCTCTCTCTCTTTGTCTCTTTCTCCCCGCATTCACCCTCTTTCTTTTATTTTCTCTCCTCTCTCTCTCATAGGTTGCAGCATATTTGAGAACTGTAAGCAGTGTAACAATGGGACATGGGGGCCCAGAGATGATTTCTTCATCAAGGGGAAGTACTGTGCTGAGTGTCGTCCCGGCTGGTCAGGCGGTGACTGCTTGAGTTAGTTCACTCCTTCTCCCATATACCTCTACCCACATTACCTCCCACCATTGTTACGGGTAAAACTCACCCTTAACCAAAGATCTAGGATCAGTTTACCTTATTCCCCCAGTTCTAACCAAAACCATTAGGGGGATGAAAGAATATCTGACCCTGTATCAGGGTTATAGGCAACTTCTCATAGCTTCCCTTCCATGCCTATAGGCACATACCATCTACCTACAAACCAATTATACTGAACAAAAATATAAACGCAACATGCAACAATTTCTAAGATTGTACTGAGTTACAATTAATATAAGGAACAGATATGCATCTGTTGGTCACAGATACCTTAAAAAAAGAGGTAGGGGCATGGATCAGAAAACCAGTCAGTATCTGGTGTGACCACCGTTTGCCTCATGCAGTGTGACACATCTTCTTCGCATAGAGTGGATCAGGTTGTTGATTGTGGCCCGTGGAATGTAGTCCCACTCCTCTTCAATGGCTGTGCGATATTGGCGGGAACTGGAAAACGCTGTCGTAAATGTCAATCCAGAGCATCCCAAACATGCTCAATGGGTGACAGTTCTGGTGAGGCCATGGAAGAACTGGGACATTTTCAGCTTCAGGAATTGTGTACAGATCCTTGCGACATGGGGCAGTGCATTATCATGCTGAAACATGACGTGATGGCGGCGGATGAATGGCATGACAATGGGCCTTAGGATCTCGTCACGTTATCTCTGTGCATTCAAATTGCCAATGATAAAAAAATGCAATTGTGTTAGTTGTCCATAGCTTATGCCTGCCCATACCATAACCCCACCACCACCACCATTCACAACGTTGACATCAGCAAACCGCTCGCCCACATGACGCCATACTGTGGTTGTGAGGCCGGTTGGACGTACTGCCAAATTCTCTAAAATGACGTTGGAGGCGGCTTATGGTAGAGAAATTAACATTAAATTCTCTGGCAACAGCTCTGGTGGACATTCCTGCAGTCAGCATGCCAATTTCACGCTCCCTCAAAACTTGAGACATCTGTGGCATTATGTTGTGTTACAAAACTGCACATTTTAGAGTGGCCTTTTATTGTCCCCAGCACAAGGTGCACCAATGTAATGATCATGCTGTTTAATAATCTTCTTGATAAGCCACACCTGCACATTTTAGATGGATGGATTATCTTGGCAAAGGAGAAAGCCTCACTAACAGGGATGTAAACAAATTTGTGCACAACATTTTAGATAAATAAGCTTTTTGTGCATATAGAGCATTTCTAGGATATTTTATTTAAGCTCATGAAATATGGGACCAACACCTTACATGTTGCATTATATTTTTGTTCAGTGTACTATAGGACGTTTTGCACAACTGTATGTTGGGTGGATGAAAGCTAAATGCCTCAGGGTTTTTTCATTAAATGAGCTGAAATTACAAGTCAAGACATTGTTAATCAACATCCTGGAATCTCACAATACAATTTGATATGTCATGTCTGGAGTATAGCTTTTACAATATGCAAATAACTAAATGTGCTGTGAGGCACAGGTAGAAAGACTTTTCATCAACAGCAGAAACTTGGCATGTATTTACAGCTCTTGGCCGCAGGCCTGTGGTTTCTGCGTATTTAATTTTTTTATTTGCTATCTAGAACCTAAACATGTTCTTCAGCTGTCCCCATAGGAGAACCCTTTGAATAACCCTTTTTCGTTCCAGGTAGAACCCTTTACACAGAGGGTTTTACATGGAACCCAAAAGAGTTCTAACTGGAATCAAAAAGGGTTCTCCTATGGGGACAGCCGAAGAACCGTTTTGGAATCCTTTTTTCTACGAGTGTATTTCATTTTGTTACTATATAACTGGTAACCAACATGCAATTCCTCAACTCTACAAGACAATTACATACAGTATAATTTGTGAACATTTCTAAAAACATAATTCCACTTTGACATTATGGGGTATTGTGTGTACTGTAGATCAGTGCCTTCAGAAAGTGTTCACACCACTTGACATATCCACATTTTGTTGTTGGATTAAAGTGGATTTAATTGTCATTTATTGTCAATGATCTAGTGGAATATATATATATATATATATATATATATATATATATATATATATATATATATATATATATATTTTTTTTTAAGTATATGAATTTTTACGCTAATATATCTTAATTAGATGCTGAGTCAATACATGTTAGAATCACCTTTGGCAGCAATTACAGCTGTGAGTCTTTCTGGGTAAGTCTCTAAGGGATTTGCACACCTGGATTGTACGATATTGTCCCATTATTCTTGAAAAAATTGTAAAAGCTCTGTCAAGTTGCTTGTTAATCATTGCCAGAAAGCCATTTTCAAGTCTTGCAATACAGTTTCAAGCCAATTTAAATCAAAACTGTGACTAGGCCACTCAGGAACATTCAATGTTGTCTTGGTAAGCAACTCCAGTGTATTTTGCCTTGTGTTTTAGGTAATGGTCCTGCTGAAAGATGAATTTGTCTCCCAGTGTCTGTTGGAAAGCAGACTGAACCAAGTTTTCCTCTAGGGCCTTGCCTGTGCTTAGCTCTATTCCGTTTATTTTTATCCAAAACAAAACTCCATAGCCTTTGCCAATGACAAGCATACCCATAACATGATGCAGCCACCACCATGCTTGAAAACACAGTCATGTGTTGGATTTGCCCAAAACATAACGCTTTGTATTCAGTATTACTTTAGTGCCTTATTGCAAATATTTTTATTGTGTACAGGCTTCCTTCTTTCCACTCTGTAGTTTATGTTAGGGCTGTGGAGTAACTACAATGATGTTGATCCATCCTCAGTTATCTCCCATCACACCCATTAAACTCTGTAACTGTTTTAAAATCACCACTGGCCTTATGGTGGAATCCCTGAGCGATTTCCTTCCTCTCCGGCAACTGAGTTAGGAAGGGCGCCTGTATCTTTGTAGTGACTGGGTGTATTGATACACCATCCAAAGTGTAATTAATAACTGTACAATGCTCAAATGGATATTCAATATCTGTTTGTTTTTCTACCAATAGGTGCCCTTCTTTGCGACAGATTGGAAAACCTCTCTGGTCTTTGAGGTGGAATCTGTGCTTGAAATACACTGCTTGACTGAGGGAACTTACTGATAATTGTATGTGTGCGGTACATAGATGGGGTAGTCATTAAAAAATCATGTTAAACACTATTATTGCACACAGAGTGAGTCCGTGCAACGTATTATGTGACTTGTTAAGCACATTTTTACTCCTGTACTTACTTAAGCTTGCCATAACAAAATGGTTGAATACTTATTGACTCAAGACATTTCAGGTTTTCATTTTTAATTAATTTGCAAACATTTCTAAAAACATAATTCCACTTTGACATTATGGGGTATTGTGTGTAGAACTGCGTCACAAAATCTCAATTGAATCCATTTTAAATTCAGGCTGTAACACAACAAAATGTGACCGACCGGCTCAATTTGGTCTTATGTAGCAACATTTGAAATTGTGTTTTTTACATTGGATAAAAGTAAAGACTCAGAACTAGACAATGGTATATCATACACTACAGTTGAGGAACAATGGGGAAGTAATTCTGCTTTGAAAGTTGATACATTTGTAACCTCACTTTTGAGAAAATGCCCCTTGAATGTTTTGGTAAACCTACTGGAGAGCTCTTCTTTGTCTACACCCATTCAGCATTGTTCACACCCTCTTAAGCCTTAGCCCCACCCATCTCTTTAAGGATTCACATGTGAGGCCATGTACCAAACAATCAAAGATTTCAAGACTAAAGGCTGGTATATACTACGTCTATTGACAGTTGTCGCAGTGACATCATTCTATTGTCATCCGACATCAAACTTGTCGTTGTTGTTATGAAAAAGTATAAACACCAAAACTACAGGCTGCATGACATCAGCAGCCTGGTGGTCCAAAATAGCATAACTAGTGTTATTTAACACCAAGAAATCCACCTGTTAAAAAATGTATTTAGTATATTTCAATCTAGCAAACCAGGCAACTAAAAGCAACTTTATAAACAATGTTTTGGTTAATTTCTAGCTTGTTAGCTAGCTAGCTAATGTTAAGTTAGCTGGCTAGCCAGTTCAAATAATGACCATATCATATAGCTGACAACGTCCTCACTTTAGCTCATTTCTCTTCATTATTACAGAAAAATAAACTCACTACAAGATCATTATTTACAAGTTAATGGCAAGCCAATTACAGAAAATAGCTTACGGGTATGAGTGTGACAGAATAAAAGCAGGGCATTCTACCGGATAATTTTTTTACTTGGACACTGTCTAGTTGTCCTAATTTGACTTTGGTGCAGTTCTTCACATTACCGTCTCTGGTAAACACATACTATATCAAATAAAATAAAAGTTGGTTTGTCACATGCACAGGATACAGAAGGTGTCGTGAAATGGTTACTTGCATAGTAGAGTCTTTTGTTTAGACATATAGCTAGCTAGCTAGCTAGCTAAATAATGAACCATAATCCCAACTCATAACATTACTAACCTGCATGAATCTGAAGGTAGCTAATCAACCATGTTCAATGTTACCTAGCTAGCTAACATTAGGCTATAACTAGCAATGCAAATGGCTCTGAGATACGAATAATATTACTACACAGATCATACACGCAACATTAGCTAACGAGCCAGCCAGCTAATGTTAGCTAGCTAGCGACTTTCTGACAAAATTAGAAATGTATAATATCTGAAAATGTAGCTAGCTAGACTACCTTACCCATATACATGGATGGACGATCCTCCCTCTCTGTCATGGATGCCATGGTTGCCCTTAGTTTGAAGATGTAATCCGGAGACAGGTGTTTTATACAACAGCCTTCTGTGTGTTCTTTTTTTGACTCCCTCTGCATATTTGCAATCAAGTAGCAGAATTTTCTCCATATCCTTAGCTATCATACTCTAAAAAAGTTTAAGTTCAAATGCCTCTCCTGTGAAATACTGAGGCGTGTCATATGCCTAGTTTCCTGAAACGAGTCAATAATGTGGAAAAAGTCAAGGGGTTTGAATACTTTCTGAAGGCACTGTATGAGCTACACAATACAATGATTCATTTATAATGAATGGAAACTGGCCAAATTATGTTTCAAATGAGCAATTAGTATGCTGTCTTAAAGTAACATATAATTACATCAAGAAATGAAAAGCCCATTGCATTGCATCATTATGTAAAGTGTGAGCTCTGAGTGGTTCTGTTCCTGTTTACAGAGTGTGGAGGAGTGATCCGTAAACGTCAGGGCCACATAGTTCTGGAGAGTTACCCCACCAACGCTCATTGTGAGTGGACCGTTCAGGTGGACCGACCATTCACCATCGACTTCAGGTGGGTGTGACCAACCGTGTATTTGACCTGGGTTGTCTCTAAACCTCAAGACCGAGTTAGTTCACTGAGCTAAAGCCTGGTGTCGCTAAATGACAGCTAGTTCTAGCTAGTCTAGCATTGTGAAACAATAAGTGTCACTTAGTCATAATTTCCTCTGACATGAAAGGGCTAGACTTTGGCCTCTCTGGTGACCATCTGTAATAGTTATTAATACTTGAACCATTTAAGACTAATTTAATTTCAGTTTTCACAATTCTGTGAGAGGTATTTCATGGACCAATGTCTAGACGAAGGTTGGAACCACTCCTAGTATTGAGGAAAAGTCCTTGCATTTCATTTATGTGATAACTTTCATTTTTTCCCAAAATACATACAACTTTTTTACAGGCAAGCATTTATTTGAGGGCTTTTACGATAAAAAAAAGCCACATTGAATATTGAACTGCATTCAGTCTGTTGGCAAATACGTAGTACATAGAGTAATAGCTTTGTGTGTTAAAATAAACAGATCCATAGTAAATAATGTTAAACTACACAACCATGACAAGCTCAGACAGCCAGGCCAAATCCATGATCAGATGACAAATGGATCTGCAAGCACAGTAAATAAATAAAACTGGTTTCCAGGCCCGCTTTGGGCTAGTCACACAACATGGTCTATCGACAGAAAGAGATTGATGAAACATCTCCAAGTGAAGAAATAAGGCCTCATACTGCTGTTTTCCGTCTTTTATGACATACAAGCCACAGAAACCATAAATGAAATAGTGCTCCTCTCTGTTTCATGTTGCTCTGCTCATAGTTGGACTAATGGAAAGTTATGAGTTTTGGCATCAGCCAGCGAAACCTTACTGGCAGGGCCATCTTGTATTTATTACTCACTACTCTTGTCTACATCCCTCTTATTTATTGCCGTACTAATGAATCTCACTTCACGCTCCACACAGGCAACAACACACTTAGCGAGTTACACAACAACACACGCTGCACGCCAAAACTTTTAAGGCATAAGATTTTCCTGAAAACAAAAACCCAGGGCCGATTAGCACAAGCCCCCTTGACCTAAGAGACTTTGATAACACTGGGGGAACTTGGTATTGTGACAAAGTCTGATTTAAAATATGAGGTAAAATTATCCTTTGTATGTCGAGCCAAAGATCTTAAATCTACCAATATAGAGCCAGGAGATATTCCTTGTTCTTTTTCCTCTTGTTCTGTAAGAGCTGACTGTAAACTCACACTCCTCTATCCAAATCCTTGTTTTCTGTATTCCCTGTACTGTTTCCAGCTGGTATCACTCACTGTGCTGTCCCACCACAAAACCAAGCTTGTTAATTAAAAGGACATATACCAATACGTTTTTCTCACCAATTATCCTATTCACTTTAACTCTCATTAAAACAGGTCCCAAAGCCACACAAACCTCTGGATGACCTTATATTCACAGAGAATGCTGACGAAGCGTGGTGGGAGTTGACATCAGTGTATTCACCAATCATACTATTTAGCTTGGCAGTGTGACTTTTTTAGTTAATAAGCGATAATACATCAATTACATTTCAACAACTCACAATCAATCACTTACAATCAGACCAGTGTTAATACAATCAATCACACACATGTACGTTTGCTTATGATCACTGATTCTAAAGAATGAGATGAGATGTTTACGGGCATCAAACACACATACCATTCATTTGTCACTGGGTTCAAAATATTCAAGGTACTTAAACTGTTTGGATATCTACTCTGATGGAAATCTGTGGGGATCCAGATTGAGTGTTAAGTGCAAATTTACTCTTAAAGTTAGGGTGAACACGTCAAGTATCCCTAAGATGTTTCTAATAGTGCTAAAGCTTGACTATTAATATAGCATCTGTTTTCTATATCTGGACTTGTGTTAACTCAAACATCCGTTCTTGTAAAAATGTATGTCTAAAATATGTTCTGTTTTTGCTGCCTGTGTCACTAACAATTGTGACGTCATATCTTACATTTTTCATCTTAGCTCAAGTGCATTATTGTCCCATTAGTTCCATACAGTAACAATTGTAGCTTTGTTGCCTCAAATTGGACAGCATTAGACTCAGCCATGATCTCAGCTGAAAGCCTTGCAGATGTCTTTTTTATAACGACTCTGATTTTTTTTTTTTGCATTGATCTCTTTCACAGGCAAGAGAAGCAGAAAAAAGGTGACTGTATAAAAAAGTACTCATGAGTGTTACCTTGGTGAAAAGACACAATATCCATAATAGATTTTGCTTCCAACAGAATGGGAGGAAATTAATAATCACTGTTCCAATCACTACTGCTGGCTAGTAAAAGAGTCAGGGGTGTGAGATGGTGCCAGCCAGGTTGGCAGAGCCAGGAAAGCCAGGTAGGTGCTCCCTCTCACGGTTGCTCCAGGAAAACAAGGGCTCTAGCAGGAAAGAAAGATAATAGTCTCCCTACTCAGAGAGGAAAGGGGGCAACAACGTGCAATAACATGCAATTTACATCATGTTTACCATATATACCAAGTGAGAAACCTCTTAATTGGTTTTATATGGAAAATCCAGGCCCGGCTACTGCAATGAAAACTTTCTGGCTGGAATAAACAGAGGAGTGACTGGATGACGGAATGGAGACAACTCCGCTGTGTCCTCCTCCCAGAGTGCGAAGAGCCTAGGCGTGACCCTGGACAACACCCTGTCGTTCTCCGCCAACATCAAGGCGGTGACCCGCTCCTGCAGGTTCATGCTCTACAACATTCGGAGAGTGCGACCCTGCCTTACACAGGAAGCGGCGCAGGTCCTGGTCCAGGCACTTGTCATCTCCCGTCTGGACTACTGCAACTCGCTGTTGGCTGGGCTCCCTGCCTGTGCCATTAAACCCCTACAACTCATCCAGAATGCCGCAGCCCGTCTGGTGTTCAACCTTCCCAAGTTCTCTCACGTCACCCCCCTCCTCCGCACACTCCACTGGCTTCCAATTGAAGCTCGCATCCGCTACAAGACCATGGTGCTTGCCTTTGGAGCAGTGAGGGGAACGGCACCCCTGTACCTTCAGGCTCTGATCAGTCCCTACACCCAAACGAGGACATTGCGTTCATCCACCTCTGGCCTGCTGGCTCCCCTTCCTCTGCGGAAGCACAGCTCCCCCTCAGCCCAGTAAAAACTGTTCGCTGCTCTGGCACCCCAATGGTGGAACAAGCTCCCTCACGACGCCAGGACAGCGGAGTCACTCACCACCTTCCGGAGACATTTGAAACCCCACCTCTTTAAGGAATACCTGGGATAGGCTAAAGTATTCCTTCTAACCCCCCCCCCCCCCCCCAAATTGTAAAGTGTTATCCCACTGGCTATAGGGTGAACGCACCAATTTGTGAGTCGCTCTGGCTAAGAGCGTCTGCTAAATGACGTTAATGTGCCCTTGAGCAAGGCACTTAACCCTAATTGCTCCTGTAAGTCGCTCTGGTTAAGAGCGTCTGCTAAATGACTAAAATGTAATGTAAATGTATAAGTGACTAGCTAAAACAAAAACCGTGCCAATTGGCTGCCGTATGTCCACCTTTTAAATGTCACTGTAAGAGAATAGGTACGTTGTCAAAATACCTTATTTTTTTTACTTGCAATGTTTTAGCTGTAGACACATCTATTTCCAAGTTTATTCAAAGTGTGGAGATCTGTGTATGTGAATTTGTGTTGCAAACCAACCCCCCAAACCTCATACTCCCATTAGTACTTCACATTGAGGTAAACTGTCAATACCACTAAATAAACTCAGTTTACCTCTGCTACAGGTACAATAATTTAGAACAGTCTCCCTTGGCCACTTCTAACCATCTCCCTCCATCCCTCCCTCTCTCCCTCCCTCTCCACCCACAGGTTCATGATGCTGAGCCTAGAGTTCGACCACTCCTGTCGCTACGACTACATCGAGGTGCGTGATGGTGACAGCATCAACTCTCGTGTGATTGGTCGGTTCTGTGGGAACAACAAGCCTGCTCCAATCCAGAGCTCTGGCAACTCCCTACACATCCTGTTTGTAGCCGATGGCTATAAGAACTTTGATGGCTTTTTCGCCACCTTCCAAGAAAGCTCAGGTAGGAACAGTACCTCCCAGAGTAGATTTAGTACCGAAAGTTGGCAAATTGATTAATAAGATCTGGGAATATATTGTGGTTTCAAATATCCCATCATAAGTTGGGAAAGTTGAGAAAAATACTTGAGCACCCCGGTAGCTACCTGAATGTTAACTTATGGCTGTTATGATAACTAAGCAGAGCACAACCTTATCAAACTCATTCCAGGGAACCCCTGCTTGGCAGCCTAACAGAGAAACCACTTAAGTACCAACTTAACCTGTCACTCAGCTCCTCATTCAAACCCAATCACCATGAACACACACAGTAACACAGTACTCCAAGCCAACTCCACTCAAGACAAAAAATACATACTGTAGGCTACTGTACATTTTGGGGATGGGTGTTGGAGAGCAGGCATGAATTTAAACACCAAAGTATTTTCTCACCTGTATACAGTTTATACATTTTTTGCCATATCCCCAAAATAAGGAATCCACTACAAACTTTGATTAGTGCAGATGAAGGGAGGGAGTGAGGAAAGCCTGCAATTATTTGTATATTTTTTAACTACTGTTATGTAGTCCATGTAATGTGTCTAAGCCTCCATTCTGCTCCTGTGTGTTTTCAGCATGCAGCTCCTCCCCCTGTCTCCATGATGGTACCTGTATCCTGGACACGTCCTACTCCTACCACTGTGCCTGTCTGGGCGGCTACACTGGTCAGAGGTGTGAGAATGGTGAGTACACTAAACTTTGGGTCAGACTATTCACAGAGGTGATGTGACTTGTGTTACTGGTGTCTGCCAGCTGTATAGTACAGTTAAAACAAAGACCTCAGACAACAAGCATGCAGAGTATCTATGTTGGAATTCTCCCATGACCATCTCTTCAGAGAGTCCCATTAGTGTTAACAACAGTGAGTGAGTCACCATCACTGATCCTCTAAGTCCCCGGCGGAGCCGGGAAATGTTTGTTCCCTTGGACTGTCGGCGTGCAGCAGTGAAAACTCATTTGAATCTGCTGGGGACTTGCAAACTATTAAATGTATAAGATGAGACATGTTCATTGTTGTCACGGGGAAAGGTCCGATGGATACCTTCATTTGTGAAAAATGTATTGAACTTCATGCAGCTAAAGAAAGGATTATTACACTTCAAGAAGAAATAAAACATTTGACAAAGCGCCTTGAACTGAATAAGGATTCCATGAGACTATCAACATCTTTAAATGCTTCCTATGAAAACAACCAAGAGGATCATAATGGGACCTTCCTGGACCATGATCACTTTCCGCCACTGAACTCCTCTACTAGCTTGAACCAGAAAATGGCTGCTCACTGTTGGACTCCAGGTGAGCGTAAATGGATGCATGTCGGAACCAGAAAGAAAGAGAATAATTATTGTCGGCGCGCCTTCCTTCTTTCCCCGCGTCCGGACTTAAGACTTTCAAATCACTTTGAGCCCCTGTACCAGCTGTCTTCTGCCGGGGGCTTGGGTGTTCCCTCCATCCTGTCATAGTCAATCAACTGCCTGGCCACAGCCTGGACCACCGTGGCCCCCCTCTGCTGGGCCGTGCTCTCTGGATCAGAGCTCTGTCCCTTTGGCGGTTGTGGCCTGCATGCAGCCAGCGTCTCAGCAACCCTCTTCTCAGGTGAGTTCTGTGGCTCTGGCCTCGCAATCTGCTTCGACACACGGCAGAGGCCGGATCATTCCGGCGATTGTGATAGAGTTCGATGGTGAGGAACATATCTGTACCTGGGGCAAAGACTTTGTGTTTTCCTGGGGCAAAAGTTCAGGATATCACCAAGTTGCTTCCCGAGGCTGTGAGTCAGTCTGTCATGGTTCATGTGGGGTCAAATGACATTATGAAGGGCAGCTCAGAACAGCTGAAGATGGATTTTAAAGAACTGATTGGGTCTCTACTTGACACCAACAAATGCCCCATAATATCTTGCCCTCTGCCCTCCCTAAATCGTGACATTGAACGGTTCAGCAGACTTTTAGCCCTCCACAACTGGCTACGAGACTATTGCAGCTCTGTGGGTGTAACATTTATTGACAATTTTGATACCTTCTGGAAACAAAGCTCATATTATAAGGAGGATGGGATCCACCCAAATAATTTGGGTTCCTGGATACTTTCACAGCATTATAAGGCTGCGTTGAGACAATGAGTTATCAATGTCCTAAATCCAGCTCATTTAATCCCTACCATTGTGTCGCTGAGTTGTCATAATGTACATTATATAATAATAATATAATAATATGCCATTTAGCAGGCGCTTTTATCCAAAGCGACTTACAGTCATGTGTGCATACATTTTTACGTATTATCCTAGGGGCGATGAAAGACACAATGTAAATAACCTCATTTATGTCCCTCTTACTGCCCAGAATGCCTCTGCTGATCCTACAGCTATTGTATGCAGTAATCATATGCCTATGAACCAGAGTAATACTGTTAGCACTGAGGTGGTGTGCCCTAGTAGGAAGTCCACTGTGTGCAGCTCACCCTGCACTAATAAAAATAACCTGAGTATGTCTACCTCTGCTAAGCTTCCCAGTAAAGCAGGAAAAATAATCAAGCATCCCAGAAAAGTGTTAAAAATAGCCCACGTTAACATATGTAGCTTAAGAAACAAGGTTCATGAAATCAATAATTTGCTAGTAACAGATGACATTCCTATTCTGACTATCTCTGAAACTCACTTAGATAATACCTTTGATGATACAGTGGTAGCAATACAAGGTTATAACATTTACAGAAAATACAGAAATGCCAATGGGGGCGGTGTTGCGGTCTATGTTCAGTATCACATTGCTGTAAAGCTTAGAGAGGATCTCGTGTTAAATACTGTTGAAGTAATATGTCTACAGGTTCACCTGCCTCACCTAAAGCCCATTCTGGTGGGAAGCTGCTATAGACCACCAAGTGCTAACAGTCAGTGTCTGGATAACATGTGTGAAATGCTTGATAATATATGTGATATCAATAGAGAGGTATACTTTATGGGTGATTTAAATATTGGCTGGCTTTCATCAGGCTGCCCACTCATGAGAAAGCTTCAAACTATAACTAGTACCTGCAACCTGGTTCAGGTTATCAATCAACCTACCAGGGTAGTTACAAACAGTACAGTAATGAAATCATCAACATGTATTGATCATATCTTTACTAATGCTGCAGAAATTTGTTAGAAAGTAGTATCCAAATTTATCAGATGTAGTGATCGCAATATAGTAGCCATACAGTGGGGAAAAAAAGCATTTAGTCAGCCACCAATTGTGCAAGTTCTCCCACTTAAAAAGATGAGAGAGGCCTGTAATTTTCATCATAGGTACACGTCAACTATGACAGACAAAAAGAGAAAAAAATATCCAGAAAATCACGTTGTAGGATTTTTAATGAATTTATTTGCAAATTATGGTGGAAAATAAGTATTTGGTCAATAACAAAAGTTTCTCAATACTTTGTTATATACCCATTGTTGGCAATGACACAGGTCAAACGTTTTCTGTAAGTCTTCACAAGGTTTTCACACACTGTTGCTGGTATTTTGGCCCATTCCTCCATGCAGATCTCCTCTAGAGCCGTGATGTTTTGGGGCTGTCGCTGGGCAACACGGACTTTCAACTCCCTCCAAAGATTTTCTATGGGGTTGAGATCTGGAGACTGGCTAGGCCACTCCAGGACCTTGAAATGCTTCTTACGAAGCCACTCCTTCGTTGCCCGGGCGGTGTGTTTGGGATCATTGTCATGCTGAAAGACCCAGCCACGTTTCATCTTCAATGCCCTTGCTGATGGAAGGAGGTTTTCACTCAAAATCTCACGATACATGGCCCCATTCATTCTTTCCTATACACGGATCAGTCGTCCTGGTCCCTTTGCAGAAAAACAGCCCCAAAGCATGATGTTTCCACCCCCATGCTTCACAGTAGGTATGGTGTTCTTTGGATGCAACTCAGCATTCTTTGTCCTCCAAACACGACGAGTTGAGTTTTTACCAAAAAGTTATATTTTGGTTTCATCTGACCATATGACATTCTCCCAATCCTCTTCTGGATCATCCAAATGCACTCTAGCAAACTTCAGACGGGCCTGGACATGTACTGGCTTAAACAGGGGGACATGTCTGGCACTGCAGGATTTGAGTCCCTGGCGGCGTAGTGTGTTACTGATGGTAGGCTTTGTTACTTTGGTCCCAGCTCTCTGCAGGTCATTCACTAGGTCCCCCCGTGTGGTTCTGGGATTTTTGCTCACCGTTCTTGTGATCATTTTGACCCCACAGGGTGAGATCTTGCGTGGAGCCCCAGATCGAGGGAGATTATCAGTGGTCTTGTATGTCTTCCATTTCCTAATATTTGCTCCCACAGTTGATTTCTTCAAACCAAGCTGCTTACCTATTGCAGATTCAGTCTTCCCAGCCTGGTGCAGGTCTACAATTTTGTTTCTGGTGTCCTTTGACAGCTCTTTGGTCTTGGCCATAGTGGAGTTTGGAGTGTGACTGTTTGAGGTTGTGGACAGGTGTCTTTTATACTGATAACAAGTTCAAACAGGTGCCATTAATACAGGTAACGAGTGGAGGACAGAGGAGCCTCTTAAAGAAGAAGTTACAGGTCTGTGAGAGCCAGAAATCTTGCTTGTTTGTAGGTGACCAAATACTTATTTTCCACCATAATATGCAAATAAATTCATAAAAAATCCTACAATGTGATTTTCTGGATTTTTTTTCTCTCAATTTGTCTGTCATAGTTGACGTGTACCTATGATGAAAATTACAGGCCTCTCTCATCTTTTTAAGTGGGAGAACTTGCACAATTGGTGGCTGACTAAATACTTTTTTTCCCCACTTTATCTAGGAAAACCAAAGTTCCAAAGGCTGTGCCTAATATTGTGTATAGGAGGTCATATAAGACGTTTCGTAGTGATTCCTATGATGTTGATGTGAAGAATATTTGTTGGTCCTTGGTGTGTAAATGACGAGCAACCAGACGCTGCACTTGACACATTTATGAAATTGCTTATCCCAGTTACTAATAGGCATGCACCCATTAAGAAAATTACTGTAAAAACTGTTAAATCCCCATGGATTGATGAGGAATTGAAAAATGGTATGGTTGAGAGGGATGAGGCAAAAGAGATGTACAACCAATTGGCAAACGTACTGCAACTTGAGAAATCATGTGACTAAACTGAATAAATATTACAAGAAACTACACTATGAAACAAAGATAAATGACATAAAGAATGATAGTAAAAAGCTTTGGATCACCTTAAATGAAATCTTGGGCAAACTCCGCTCCATCATTCATTGAATCAGATGGCTCATTCATCACAAAACCCACTGATGTTGTCAACTACTTTAATTATTTTTTCATTGGCAATATTAGCAAACTTAGGCATGACATGCCAGCAACAAACCCTGACACTACACATCCAAGTATACCTGACCAAATTATGAATTGAATTGAATTCCTTAACCCTCCCGTTGTCCTAGGGTCAAAATGACCCGCCACTGTGTTGAACCAACTTTATTTAATTTGTATATTTTTTGGGTAATTTGTGAGAAGGAGGCAGTGATACTTTCTTTAAAGTCTCACTGCCTCCTTCTCACAAATTATCCCAAAAATATAAAAATTAAATAAAGTTGGTTCAACACAGTGGCGGGTCATTTTGACCCTAGGACAACGGGAGGGTTAAAGTAAGTGTGGAAGAGTTGAAAAAGTATTATTGTCGATCAACAATGACAAGCCTGACAACTTCAATGGAAAATTACTGAGGATAATAGCGGACGAAATTACCACTCCTATTTGCTATATCTTCAATTAAGCCTACTATAAAGTGTGTGCCCTCAGGCCTGGAGGGAAGCACAAGTTATTCCCCTACCTAAGAATAGTAAAGCCCCCTTTACTGGCTCAAATATCCGACCAATCAACCTGTTACCAACCCTTAGTAAACTTTTGAAAAAAATGGTGTTTAACAGATAAAATGCTATTTTACAGTAAACAAATTGACAACAGACTTTCAGCACGCTTATAGAGAAGGACATTCAACAAGCACAGCACTTACACAAATGACTGATGATTGGCTGAGAGAAATTGATGATAAAAAGATTGTGGGGGCTGTTTTGTTAGACTTCAGTGTGGCTTTTGACATTTTCGATCATAGTCTGTTGCTGGAAAAACATATGTGTTATGGCTTTACACCCCCTGCTATATTGTGGATAAAGAGTTACCTGTCTAACAGAACACAGAGGGTGTTCTTTAATGGAAACCTCTCCAACAAAATCCAGGTAGAATCAGGAATTCCCCAGGGCAGCTGTCTAGGCCCCTTACTTTTTTCAATCTTTACTAACGACATGACACTGACTTTGAGTAAAGCCAGTGTGTCTATGTATGCGGATGACTCAACACTTTACACGTCAGCTACCACAGTGACTGAAATGACAGCAACACTTAACAAAGATCTGCAGTTAGTTTCAGAATGGGTGGCAAGGAATTAGTTAGTCCTAAATATTTCTAAAACTAAAAGCATTCTATTTGGGACAAATCATTCACTAAACCCTAAACCCCAACTTAATCTTCTAATGAATAATGTGGAAATTGAGCAAGTTGAGGAGACTGAATTGCATGGAGTAACCCTGGATTGTAAACTGTCAAGGTCAAAACATAGCTAGGATGGGGAGAAGTCTGTCTATAACAGCACTATCAACAAGGCAGGTCCTACAGGCCCTAGTTTTGTCGCACCTGGACTACTGTTCAGTTGTGTGGTCAGGTGCCACAAAGAGGGACTTAGGAAAATTGCAATTGGCTCAGAACAGAGCAGCACGGCTGGCCCTTGGATGTACACAGAGAGCTAATATTAATAATATGCATGTCTCCTGGCTCAAAGTGGTGGAGAGATTGACTTCATCACTACTTTGACATGTTGAATGCACCGAGCTGTCCATTTGAACTACTGGCACACAGCTCGGACACCCATGCATACCCCACAAGACCTGCCACCAGAGGTCTCTTCATAGTCCCCAAGTCAAGAACAGACTATGGGAGGCGCACAGTACTACATTTACGTCATTTAGCAGACGCTCTTATCCAGAGCGACTTACAGTTAGTGAGTGCATACATTTATTTTTATTTTTCATACTGGCCCCCCGTGGGAATCGAACCCACAACCCTGCCGTTGCAAACGCCATGCTCTACCAACTGAGCTACATCCCTGCCGGCCATTCCCTCCCCTATCCTGGACGACGCTGGGCCAATTGTGCGCCGCCCATTGGGTCTCCCTGTCGCGGCCGGCTACGACAGAGCCTGAATTCGAACCAGGATCTCTAGTGGCACAGCTAGCACTGCGATGCAGTGCCTTAGACCACTGCGCCACTCGGGAGAGTGGCGCAGTGGTCTAAGGCATAGAGCCATGACTACATGGAACTCTAGTCCACATCAAGTAACTCATGCCAGCAGTAAAATTAGATTTAAAACACAAAATACACCTTATGGAACAGCGGGGACTGTGAAGCAACACAAACATAGACACATGCATACAAACACACAATAACATACGCACTATACACAAATGTACACATGGATTTTGTGTTATAGATATGTGGTAGTAGAGTAGAGGCCTGAGGGTACACACTTAATATGTTGTGAAATCTGTTATGAATGTATTGTAATGTTTTTTAAATGTATAACTACCTTAATTTTGTTGGACCCCAGGAAGAGTAGCTGCTGCCTTGGCAGCACATAATAAATACAAATACAAAATATCCATATTCCCTACTGGTTATCTCCCTCTCTAGCCCTGGGCAATCAGCTGCTGGGGGAAACTGTGTCCAATGTCGACAGATGGACCATAAATTACTATGACCACCTGACAGAATTCTGACTTCTTGAAACTACACCTCACCGTCTAAGTTTACTGTATGAATGGATAGTAAACGTCTTCAAGAGAAAGACAGACTGAGAGCGAATGACGAGAGCGAGAGGGAGAGGCAGAGAGGAAGAGAGAGACAGGGCGAGAGATAGAGAATTATAGATTTGGGCAAATGGAAAATGAGTGAGCAAGACTAAGCTAGGCTAAGCTTCCCTCAGCCCATCTGAATGTCACGCCCTGGCTCTGGGGACTCTTTAATGTTGAGCCAGGGTGTGTAGTGTCTATGTTGTATTTTCTATGTTTCGTTCTAGTTCGTGTTTTCTATGTTGGCCAGGGTGGTTCCCAATCAGAGGCAGCTGATTCTCGTTGTCTCTGATTGGGAACCATACTTAGGCAGCCGGTTGGCACTAGTTATTTGTGGGATCTTGTTCCGTAAGGTTTGTTTTGGTGTGTTAACCTAGGACTTCACGTATCGTTTGGTTTGTTGTTTTTTCGTGTGGTGTACTGAAATAAAAGATGTACGCATATCACGCTGCGCCTTGGTCTGCCTCTTACGACGATCGTGACACTGAATCTGGGGCAGTCACCTGCCTGCCAACCAAATCGTGCCAGGCAGCCCCCTACTTTATCCTGAGAGGGCTCCAACAGGGCCCTGTATAGCTGAAGCTCCTTCTGTCCACAGCTACACAACAACCCTGCTTCTTTATGGCCGTCTGGACTCAGGCCTGGGTTTCCTTACCCACCTTCACACCCCTCCCCTCCACCCCGCCCTCCCACTGTTTACCCTGTGAAAACAGCCTGGCCAAGAGCCTTGTCGTTTTTTCAGGGCTAACCTTTAGTCTATACAACTAATGTTGAAACAAACCTGCCTCTATAATATGAGGCAGCTTTTCCATTGGATGAGAGGCGCTCATAAAACGCATTGGAGAAGTGGAGGGATGGAATTTCGTACTTGTTGTTCGTTCATCTGGTATTCCCGTGAGGAGGGCTGGACTGCTCGTTTGTGAGGTAGATTTAGGATAACACTAATGTCGTATACAACCTTTGTCAGAATAACATGATTTCAAGAAAGGATTCTTTCCTAACTTTCTGTATATTTCCGATGCAGTCTTTATTTTAGACTAAGAATATTGAACCATAGTTTCCGAGGCGTTGACAGGACTTAGTGGTGAATTAATTGTGCTTCTTTAATCATAACATCCTCTGTTAGCATTCCTTCATAATGGCCCTATGACTCATCCCAGTAGAGAGAGCCCAGTAGGAGATATACTGGTGGAGAGAGAGAGACAGACAGACAGACAGACAGACAGACAGACAGACAGACAGACAGACAGACAGACAGACAGACAGACAGACAGACAGACAGACAGACAGACAGACAGACAGACAGACAGACAGACAGACAGACAGACAGACAGACAGACGGATGGATGGACAGACAGATGGATGGACAGACAGACAGACACTGGGACGGGAGGACTGGGGTGTGGGCAAACAGAGGATTTGATAGGCTCTCAATTCAACATCCCTCCACATTTTAGCTTTTTTTTAAACATTTTTTATTTTCAATGTCTGGAATTCCAAGCTAATTCCCCCTGTCCCATCCCACATGCGGCTCGACTGAAGGGTGGAAATGCTGGAAGGCAGGGAGACAGTGATTATAGGGAGGGTTCCTCTGATGGTTTTGGACCACACTTCTGTCAGACCATGGCCAGAGAGAGGGAGAGAGGCACGGGGCTGGTCCTGCAATCCTCTGCCCCAATAGCCACAGTATGGCCAGAGTGATATAGCATGAACATAATACGTTTGTGTAGGTGTGTGTAAGTGTATGTAGGTGTATGCATGTGTTTGTGCAGATATGTGTGTGCTTGGTATTTAGCTTCGTTCCGGATCAGAGAGAGGGGACCCAATGGTGAACTACAACTTGATGAGTGCTATTTGTGTCAATCAAATACTCTGTTTCACAGTCGGGCATTGTCTGAACATTTACACACTATTCCATTCCACTCGACCAACCCAAGCCACATGCTACTAACCCACATCATAAAAACAACCAGTACCTTGGAAAATGGAACAGTTTAACTAAAGCATATTTTTACTGGGAGTGTTCTATTTATTCCTCCGTTACAGACAATGTGTTAGCATCCCCATGTGAGCTGTTCACACTTTTTCCAAGCCTGCTGAAATTATCTATTAATGAGGCAGTAAGATGTGGAGGCTATATTTATAAACTTCTAGCTGCTCAAAGAGGTCATTCTGAGGAGGAAGAATGGGTTTGTGAGCTGTGAACTGGGTTCGGAGAGCCCTGAAGCTGTAGGTGGCTGTTCAGAAGGAGGTGTGTTAACACCTAATATCGCACAGCAGTAAACGCACTGAAGGTTATGTGAGCAGTAGCTGTGTGGTCTATTCTGACGAAGTGGGATGAAGTTGTGTTTAGGGCTGGCAGAAGATTGTTAGCATTATAGTGGACAGAAGACAAAACACTGTAACAATGTGTTCAGAATGTGTGAGGAGGGTTGTTTATATATGACTGTGTGTAGCACTACATTCTGAGGTCTCTCTAATGTCTTTGTACATATGTTTTTGTGTCCTTCCAGTTGTAGGGTGCAGGAGGCCCCCAGTACCTGTCCATGGCTCCACAGAGGGGGTATTCCATCACTCAGGGGCACGAGTCACGTTCCGCTGTGACCCTGGGTTCGAGCTGAGGGGGATCCGCACCGCCATCTGCCTCCGGGATGGCAGCTGGAGCGCACCTGTCCCTCAATGTGGTAAGAGGCCAGAGAGAAAGAGGCACAGCACAATGCACAATTTAGATGCTTACTGAAAAATCCAACCTGATTGACCTTAGTGACCTTGACACTGTAGGTTTGTTTTATACAATACCATTTGAGACATGTGAACACAACAGCTCCTCTAAGGAATAAACATATTTACAACTCATCTGCAAATTCAATAGCGTCTGACAATCTGAATCCCAGCTTCACTGAGCCTACATGTTATCTGTGTTCCTCTGCAGTGCCTATGGTGAAATTCTGTGCCATCCCAGCCAAGCCTGTCCATGGAGACCACTTCCTTGTGTACGGGCCCAATGACGTCATCATAGCCCTACAGTACCTGTGCTACCGGCCCTACAAGCTGAGCGGGACGCACCAGAGGACCTGTTTGCCCAACAACACCTGGAGCGGAACACCCCCCACATGTGGCAAAGGTTAGGGTCAGAGCAAGGCATGATGGGAATCAGAGTTTGGAGACAGTGGGAACAGGTTTTGATAGACATCAAAGGTGGACCTACTATTATTAGGAATTACTATGTGCTACATGACCAGGCCTGCGTGAAATTGATTATATTGTACTAGTAGAATGTGTGCAACCATTCAGAACTGTATAACAACACTTATTTTCTATCCAGAAAGTCACTTGTTTTCTCTCTTTTTATTTACAGTGAATAATACACTTGCTGAACCAGGCAAAGACAAAGAAAATGACATAGCAAGAGATACAGAGAAGGACAAAGAAAAGGATGCAGAAAAAGAGAAAGACACTGACAAAGACATTGAAAAACCCAAAGACAAAGAGATAGACAGTAATACAGGTATCAAGGAGGACGTGGCTGGTAAAGATCCAGACACAGGCCTGAGGAACACAACAGTGGACGGTAAAGATAAAAACATAGACATTACTCTGGTGAACATCCCAGGACGAAGCGAGGATAAAACAAGTGACAAAGAAAAAGAAACTGGGCTAGAAAAACCTACTGGAGGTACCAAGGATAAAGTGGACAGTAAAGAAACGGATGACATCATAAACACAGTGGAGGGAGGGAGAGAAAATTATGTGGGGAAAACCAACGCGGACACAGATGGCAGTCCAGATACTGGGGGAGACACAGACGTGATACGGGAGATAGGAAAGACAACAGAGATCCCTGAGATAGTGGTGGTGCTGGAGGATAAAGGACAGGAGGAAGAGGAGAAGAAAGAGGCACCAGTAGATAACAGCAGTGATCCAAACATAGTTGATCCTAATGACTTAAAACCAAGGGGAGACACATTTGCCATAGATTACACTGAGTTAAAACCAAGGGGAGACACATTTGCCATAGATTACACAGAGTTAAAACCAAGGGGAGACACATTTGCCATAGATTACACTGAGTTAAAACCAAGGGGAGACACATTTGCCACTGTTACGGATGTGTTTGGCACCAATGACATAGAGCACGGTATGAATACAACAGTGTCTAAAGACATTGTGAAGATTATTATTCCAACTAGAAGCAACAGCACACAGTTCACCCCATATTTATCAGGAGGTCAGGAAACCGAGAGGCTTGCAGAAAAGCAACGCAAAGATATAGGAGCAACTAAAGATAAAGGCTCAACTAAAAATATAGGCTCAACTAAAGATATAGGCTCAACTAAAGATACAATGGCAAGTACAAGCAAACCTGAAGAAGAAAATACAGGAAAAGATTCAGACAAACCAACTAAAGAAGAGTCTGAGGATGAGAAGAGAGAAAACCAAAGCATCAATGGTAAGACTCAGAATCACCCCAAACACTTCAGGTGCATGTTGTACAATACACTGCATTATTGAAACAGATATTATAATGACCCTCAGCATCTTACATTTTCTCCTCCACTCTCTCACTCCCTCTCCACCTATCTATCTTCCACTCTCCGCCTGCTCTCTTTCCCCTCTTTTCCCTCCGTCTCTCCTTCCAGAGAGGAGCTGTCCCCCTCTCCCACAGCTCTACCACGGGTACCAGCAGGTTGTGCCAGGGCTGGTGCCAGAGACAGTAGAGTTCTTTTGTAACCACTCAAACGCTCTGAGTGGTGACGCCAGACGCACCTGCCAGCCTGGCGGCACCTGGGGGGGCACTCAACCCCTTTGTGTGAGAGGTAGGCACTTACGTGTGTGCGAGTTTGTGTGTGTGTCAAATCAAATCAAATCAAATCAAATTTTATTGGTCACATGCGCCGAATACAACAGGTGCAGACATTACAGTGAAATGCTTACTTACAGCCCTTAACCAACAGTGCATTTATTTTAAACAAAAAAGTAAGAATAAAACAACAACAAAAAAGTGTTGAGAAAAAAAGAGCAGAAGTAAAAAATAAAGTGACAGTAGGGAGGCTATATATACAATAGAATAAAGTGACAGTAGGGAGGCTATATATACAGGGGGGTACCGTTGCATAGTCAATGTGCGGGGGCACCGGCCAGTTGAGGCAGTTGAGGCAATATGTACATGTGGGTAGAGTTAAAGTGACTATGCATAAATACTTAACAGAGTAGCAGCAGCGTAAAAAGGATGGGGTGGGGGGGCAGTGCAAATAGTCCGGGTAGCCATGATTAGCTGTTCAGGAGTCTTATGGCTTGGGGGTAGAAGCTGTTGAGAAGTCTTTTGGACCTAGACTTGGCACTCCGGTACCGCTTGCCGTGCGGTAGCAGAGAGAACAGTCTATGACTAGGGTGACTGGAATCTTTGACAATTTTGAGGGCCTTCCTCTGACACCGCCTGGTATAGAGGTCCTGGATGGCAGGGAGCTTTGCCCCAGTGATGTACTGGGCCGTACGCACTACCCTCTGTAGTGCCTTGCGGTCAGAGGCCAAGCAGTTGCCATACCAGGCGGTGATGCAACCAGTCAGGATGCTCTCGATGGTGCAGCTGTAGAATTTTTTGAGGATCTGAGGACCCATGCCAAATCTTTTTAGTCTCCTGAGGGGGAATAGGCTTTGTCGTGCCCTCTTCACGACTGTCTTGGTGTGTTTGGACCATGATAGTTCGTTGGTGATGTGGACACCAAGGAACTTGAAGCTCTCAACCTGTTCCACTACAGCCCCGTCGATGAGACGTGTGTGTGTGTGTGTGTGTGTGTGTGTGTGTGTGTGTGTGTGTGTGTGTGTGTGTGTGTGTGTGTGTGCCTGCATTATCAGCAAGGGACACACTGTAGCACCTGCCAGTTGAGCACTCTCAACCCAACATTGAGAATGAAAGCGGCTGCCAGCCTGTAAGTAGGTTTTAATGGGAACCCTGTGTTTGTCTGCAGCCTGCAGAGAGCCCAAGGTCTCAGAGCTGGTCAAACAGAGAGTTCTGCCTGCACAGGCTCCATCCAGGTATGTCTAACGATGTATAATATATTATGTTACAGAGCACACATAAACATACACATTATATAGTCTACATTAAATGCCAGACGTAAGCATTAACCAACACTATACTGTTTATCCACATTACCATTGCAGTCATGATATATCAAAACCACATACATAAAACGTACAGTATATGTGCATAATCATATACCAACATCATTGGCACACCACACAAGAGAGACCATAAACATTATGTATGAACCTCCTTAATACACACATCACAGCAGAAGACTTAGCTCTTTTTAGTGTGTGACAGAACCACTTTACCATGTGATGCCCACATAAAAATGTGGCTGCGGATCTGACTTTTCCTGGATCTTTCTTCCCAACAGCTAAAGGTCCCGAAGTTTGTGCATGTGCAGGATTCTCTACTTTAGGCACAGTCTCTGCGCTCTACTCGTAGAGAGCGGACTACTCTGGTGAATGGTGCTCGATCAAAGCTGAATCAATATCTGCAAGATCACATAATGATAGTGTTGTACATAACAGAGCCAAATATAATAGCATACAGTAGTATAACGTTACTGTAAGTCAAAAAACACCACCTCATTTCTAATGAGATTTTAGGACGATTGTGTGAATGGTCGCATTTCTCTCTCATGCGGGCACAACTCAATATATGCATTGATTGAAACAAAACACAGGTAGGCTATGCTACAGTTTGTTAACACTATCTGCTCTAAAATTGCAACACTGTACATAACTAAGAAGATCATTCATAATTGACAGTGAGAAATGTGAAGGGAGGGTGACCACACATTTATTTTGCGTTAAATAGAGGTAAAGGAACACATGCGCAGAACGTGATACAGATCTTTCCAGGGGTTCCAGGGGGGCGAGACGGGGGTGGAACGGGGAAGTTACCTGCAGATCCGCAGCCTCTGCCTATAAATTAACAATTTAAAAACCTAAAAGGACTTATACACACTGCTAGCCTCTTTAGGTACATTATACACTAGTTTGTTTCTGTAAAGGCATCTCCATGGACCCCTCTCCTCTCTCCCTCTCAGGAAGACCCCTGTGCATAAGCTCTACTCTTCCTCTGGGTTTGTGAGGATGTTCCAGTCCACCAGCCCCACCAAAGGTCCTCCAGTGCTATCCCAGCTGCCCCAGGGCTTCCACCACCTCTACACTCACATAGCGTACGAGTGTGCCTCTCCCTTTTACCAACACTCAGGCAGCGCACGCCGCACCTGCCTCAAGACTGGCAAGTGGAGTGGGCGTCATGTCTCCTGTTCGCCAGGTGAGGGCAGCAGAGCCACATTACTTGATGTATATCTTACAGTTTTTCTCGATTGTTTACACACATTTTCTGAAAGCATGCCTCATATTCTCAGAACTCTACACACAAAACAAAAAACACACACACAATGGGCAAAACCCCTCAATTCTCCAGCAAAATGAAACTTTACATTCAAAACAATGTTATTTCTTATCAAAATTGTATTTTGTTTTCAAATGACACACACAAACCATCATATGAATAGACATTTATAAGAACCAGTTGAACACTGATGTGCTCAATGTAAAACACTATGATGAATGGAAAACATTTCTTCTCCATTCATCATAATGACTTAGGCCTTTTTTTGGTTCAGTGTTGCCATTACTACAGACAGTACATACATAAGTGTGTTGTAAAATATTTGAGAATATTGTTTTTATACTCAGAACACACAAATACACGGTAACAAATATATTTCATTTTTCCCACAAAAACAATGTACACTGTGTACATCCCATTCCCAATCAACACAAAGTTGCACATACAGTGGTCTACATACAAAACAGAATAATTGAATGTATACAGTTACAGAAAAAAAAAATATATATATATATGATGCTGCATCTTCTCTTCTGTTGCGGTCTGGCCACAGCACCTCACCCACATCACAAGCAATGTTTTCCCTGGCCAAGCAGTGGGGGAAATATCGCCTAGCATGGCGATTCCAGCCATGAAAAGCATCAGCTGCTATATCTCCACATGCATCTTCCATAGCTTGGAGAAGAGGTATACGCGTTTGTGGATTTCGGTCATACACTTTCCATCTCCAGGCAGAAAAAAATTGGAGAATATGGAGGGAGATAAACAACTAAAAAGCGTGGGTGGGCAGTGAACCAGTTACGAACCAGAGCAGCCCTGTGGAAACTTACGTTGTCCCAAATGACAACGTACCTGAGCTGCTCTGGGCCATCTACCTGATCTGGTGGAATGAGTGTGTTGTGTAGGGTGTCCAGGAATGTAATCAGATGGGCCGTGTTGTAGGGGCCAAGGGTAGCATGGTGATGGATGATGCCGTGGTGGGTAATCGCTGCACACATTGTGATGTTCCCTCCGCGCTGGCCAGGGACTTGAACAATGGCACGCTGGCCGATATTCCTTCCCCTCTTTCGTCTTTTTGTGAGGTTGAATCCAACCTCATCAATGAAGATGAACTGGTGCTCCACTGCAGCCACCTCTAGCTCAAGTACTCTCTGAAACACACATGACAATATCAGAAATAGACATGGAGTGGTCACTATTGTGAAGCACAATCATTATGATTACAATACTGAAATATGTATAATTTATACAGTGTTGAGAGTATGTATCAATTGTGGGATTGTATAGGACTCACTTGCACATAATTATATCGCAATTCTTTGACTCTTTCTGAATTGCGTTCAAATGGCACCCTGTAGACCTGCTTCATCCTGAGATTATTTCTGCGCAAGACACGGTCCAGTGTTGATAAACTTACCCTATCAATATTTTGAAATATCTCATTGTTTTCTATTATTTTTCTTTGTATTTGCCGTAATGTTATGGCGTTATTTTCTAGGACCATGTTCATGATTTCAGTTTCCTGTTCAGGAGACAGAACACGTTCCCGACCACCTTGTGTTGGTAATCTTTCAGTTCTGCCAAACAAAGAGTAAAATGCTGTAAATACAAAGTAGAAATACATTTCCCAAATACTTGAAACATACTTTATTTTTACAGTCCTACAGAACACTCCACAGGCAATACTGTACTACTGTACTCATTGAGTACTGTATTGATATGCAGTACTGCAATTTTCTAGTGAGAGTAGATTTCTTACCTATTCTCATTTCGGAATGTCCGGATGATGGATGCTACAGTGTACCTGCTCAAATTTGGCTGTACTCTTTGCCCAGCCTCCCTCATTGTTAGACCATGGTTGACCACATGATCAACCAAAGTGGCTCGGATCTCATCAGAGATTACGGTCCTTGGCCTTCCTCATCCTCGTCCTTGTCCTTGTCCTCCCTGTCCTCCTCCTCTTACTCTCACTCCTCTGGCTCTGGCCTCTGTTTCCAATGTTGGCATCCATTGCTCCAAAACAGAAGAGCTTACCTGTTGCCCTTTTATGCTAAAGCTCTGATTGTTAATTGTAAAACTTTGTGACGGGTGTTTGCCCATGTGATGAGTCAGTGTGCATATTTGAATGGCAGTGTGTTCATTATGAAAACAATATATTTTCTGCATGAAAATTGTGCCAAATGCAAAGATTTGTGTGTAGTGTTTTGAAAAAAGTGTAAAGCAGGAATTGTGCTTGTAGTTTAGCAGAATTGGTTCAGGGGGTTGGTGCATGAGTTACATGTTGTGGTCATTCAATCAATCAATCAATCAATTTTATTTTATATAGCCCTTCTTACATCAGCTAATATCTCGAAGTGCTGTAAGAAACCCAGCCCTTTAAAAACCCCAAACAGCTAGAATGCAGTGTGTAGAAGCAAGGTGGCTAGGAAAAACTCCCTAGAAAGGCAAAACTAGGAAGAAAACCTAGAGAGGAACCAGGTATGAGGGGTGGCCAGTCCTTTCTGGCTGTGCCGGTGGAGATTATAACAGAACCATGCCAAGATGTTCACAAATGTTCATAAGTGACAGCATGGGTCAAATAATAATCAGGAATAAATCTCAGGTTTGGCTTTTCATAGCCGATCATAGAGTTTTAAAACAGCAGGTCTGGGACAGGTAGGGGTTCCATAACCGCAGGCAGAACAGTTTTAAACTGGAATAGCAGCAAGGCCAGGCGGACTGGGGACAGCAAGGAGTCACCACGGCCGGTAGTCCCGACGTATGGTCCTAGGGCTCAGGTCTCTCAGTTGGCTTTTCATAGCCGATCATTTAGAGTTGAAAACAGCAGGTCTGGGACAGGTAGGGGTTTCGTAGCCGCAGGCAGAACAGTTGAAACTGGAATAGCAGCAAGGCCAGGCGGACTGGGGACAGCAAGGTGTCATCATGCCCGGTAGTCCTGACGTATGGTCCTAGGGCTCAGGTTCTCAGAGAGAAAGAGAGAGCGAGAGAATTAGAGAGAGCATACTTAAATTCACACAGGACACTGGATAAGACAGGAGAAGTACTCCAGGTATAACCAACTAACCCCAGCCCCCCGACACATAAACTACTGCAGCATAAATACTGGAGGCTGAGACAGGAGCGGTCCGGAGACACTGTGGCCCCATCCGAAGAAACCCCCGGACAGGGCCAAACAGGAAGGATATAACCCCACCCACTCCGCCAAAGCACAGCCCCCGCACCACTAGAGGGATATCCCCAACCACCAACTTACAATCCTGAGACAAGGCCGAGTATAGCCCACAGAGGTCTCCACCACAGCACAAACCAAGGGGGGGGCGCCAACCCAGACAGGAAGATCACGTCAGTAACTCAACCCACTCAAGTGACGCACCCCTCCCAGGGACGGCATGAAAGAGCACCAGCAAGCCAGTGACTCAGCCCCTGCAACAGGGTTAGAGGCAGAGAACCCCAGTGGAGAGGGGAACCGGCCCGGCAGAGACAGCAAGGGCTGTTCGTTGCTCCAGCCTTTCCGTTCACCTTCACACTCCTGGGCCAGACTACACTCAATCATATGACCTACTGAAGAGATAAGTCTTCAGTAAAGACTTAAAGGTTGAGACCGAGTCTGCGTCTCTCACATGGGTAGGCAGACTGTTCCATAAAAATGGAGATCTATAGGAGAAAGCCCTGCCTCCCGCTGTTTGCTTAGAAATTCTAGGGACAATTAGGAGGCCTGCGTCTTGTGACCGTAGCGTACGTATTGGTATGTACGGCAGGACCAACTCGGAAAGATAGGTAGGAGCAAGCCCATGTAACGCTTTATAGGTTAACAGTAAAACCTTGAAATCAGCCCTTGCCTTAACAGGAAGCCAGTGTAGGGAAGCTAGCACTGGAGTAATATGATCAAATTTCTTGGTTCTAGTCAGGATTCTAGCAGCCGTATTTAGCACTAACTGAAGTTTATTTAGTGCTTTATCCGGGTAGCCGGAAAATAGAGCATTGCAGTAGTCTAATCTAGAAGTAACAAATGCATGGATTAATTTTTCTGCATCATTTTTGGACAGAAAATTTCTGATTTTTGCAATGTTACGTAGATGGAAAAAAGCTGTCCTTGAAACAGTCTTGATATGTTCGTCAAAAGAGAGATCAGGGTCAAGAGTAACGCCTAGGTCCTTCACAGTTTTATTTGAGACGACTTTACAACCATCAAGATGAATTGTCAGATTTAACAGAAGATCTTTGTGTCTCAAGTACCAGTATTTGTGTGTAAACAATTGAGAAAAATTGTAATATAAGGAAAGGTTTGTCTTGCCACCTAGGCATGCTAGAATTGCACTTTCAAACCACACTTAGACATTAAGCAATCAAGAAAATTGTGCTGAAAATGTACTATTCCAGGGTGGGTGTGATGTGGAATAAGGTTTTCACACAGTATCAAATGTTGTTTTATCAATGTCTTCCTTCTCCTTCTTTCCCACCCTTCTCCTCCCCGACCACACTTTCCTCTCCTCCACCCTTGTCTCTCCATCCTTCTCTTTTCCCAGTGTGTGGGAAGCACCCCACCTTTGACCCCCAGAGCCCGGCAGAGTCCCACTGGCCCTGGCTAGCCGCCATCTACCGACGCCCCACCAACGGAGCAGGGACCAAGCTGGACAAGAAGGCCAGCCTTGCTGGGTCACTAAAGAAGGAGGCTGGAGCTGGATCAGGTGCTGGGGCTAGATCCAAGGGGCAGGACGAGGCCTCAGGCTGGCAGCTGGTGTGTAGCGGGGCCCTGGTGAACCAGCGGAGTGTGGTGTTGGCAGCCCACTGTGTGACTGAGCTGGGGAAGCTGTACCCACTGGATGCAGCCACGGTCAAGGTGGTGATGGGAAAACACTACCGCAGTGACCTCAGAGAGACCAAGGGCTTGCAGCATCTCAGGGTAAGAGCGGGGATGGAGAGGGCTGAAGGGTGGGGAGTAGAGAGTGAGAGCTGTTTTGGAGAGGGCTAAATGGGTTGGTGGGTGGGGGGTGGGGAGTGAGAGGGGGTTTGGAGAGGGCTTACTGGGTTGGTGGGTGGGGGTGGGGAGTAAGAGGGGGTTTGGAGGGCTAACTGGATTGGTGGGTAGGGAGTGGGTAGTGAGGGAGGATTTGAAGAGGGCTAACTGTGTTGGTGGGTGGGGGGTGGGGACTGAGAGTGGGTTTGGAGAGGGCTAACTGGGTTGGTGGGTGGGGGGTAGGGAGTGAGAGGGGGTTTGGAGACGGATAACTGGGTTGGTGGGTGGGAGTGAGAGGGGATTTGGAGGGCTAACTGGGTTGGTGGGTGGGGGTGGGGAGTGAGAGAGGGTTTGGAGAGGGCTAACTGGGTTGGTCAGTGGGGGGTGGGGAGTGAGAGCCAGTTTGGAGAGGGCTAACTGAGTTAGTTGTTCGGGTGTGGGGGGTGAGAGGGAGTTTGGAGAGAGCTAACTGGGTTGGTCAGTGGGGGGTGGGGAGTGAGAGGTGGTTTGGAGAGGGCTAACTGGGTTGGTCGGTTGGGGGTGGGGAGTGAGAGGGGGTTTGGAGAATGCTAACTGGGTAGGTGGTTGGGTGGTTGGGGAGTAGGGAATGAGGGAATGAGGGGGTTATAGTATATAGCCTAGAGGAGACCACCTGTACTCAGCCACACTGCAATGATTAGACTGAAATATAACTATGGTGTACAGTTCATCACACATGATGTTACACACTCTATAGGTACATTTTCAAGCCTTATGGGATGGTAAAAGCTCAAGGTCTACGTCTATATAATACCAATGGCTGGGTGGTTTTGAACCTGTGTCCAATTAAAATGTATGCTTTCACAAACATGACATCATGTCTACTACATCTAGCCATGTAAAACAGCCCCATGTTTGTTTACGTTCAATCGTTGAATAGGTGCCAGAAAGTTACTTTGACCGTAAGTAAACACCAATGTGGTTGTGCGACATGGCTAGTCTGGATCTAACCAACATATACAGTAGCGTATTGCCATTTTGCAGTGTATTGTAAATAATATGGTGTAATGGTACATTATGCACTTTATAAAGGGCTGTCAATTAATATATGCTACATGACAAAAAGTATGTGGACACCTGCTCATTGAACATCTCATTCCAAACTCATAGGCATTAATATGGAGTTGGTCCCACCTTTGCTTCTATAACAGCCTCCACTCTTCTGGGAAGGCTTTCCACTAGATGTTGGAACATAGGAACATTTCTGTATGGACCTCGCTTTGTGCACGGGGATGTTGTCATGCTGAAACAGGAAAGGGCCTTCCCCAAACTGTTGCCACAAAGTTGGAAGCACAGAATCGTCTAGAATGTCATTGTATGCTGTAGTGTTGAGATTAATTATTATTATTATATTATATTATTATTATTATTTCCTTTCACTGGAACTAAGGGCCTAGCCCGAACCATGAAAAACAGCCCCAGACCATTATTCCTCCTCTACCAAACTTTACAGTTGGCACTATGCATTGGGGCATGTAGCGTTTTCCTGGCATCCGCCAAACCCAGATTCATCCGTCAGACTGCCAGATGGTGAAGCATGATTCATCACTCCAGAGAACACGTTTCCACTGCTCCAATCCAATGGCGGAGAGCTTTACACCACTCCCGCTGACACTTGACATTACGCATGGTGATCTTAGGCTTGTGTGCGGCTGCTCAGCCATGGAAACCCATTTCATGAAGCTCCCGACGAACAGTTATTGTGCTGATGTTGCTTCCAGAGGCAGTTTGGAACTCGTAAGTGTTACAACCGAGAACAGATGATTTTTACCCGCTACACGATTCAGCACTCACGGTACCGTTCTGTGAGCTTGTGTGGCCTACCACTTCGCGACTGAGCCGTTGTTGCGCCTAGACGTTTCCACTACACAATAACAGCACTTACAGTTGACCGGGGCAGCTTTAGCAGGGCAGAAATTTGACGAACTGACTTGTTGGAAAGGTGGCATACTATGACAGTGCCACGTTGAAAGTCACTGAGCTCTTCAGTAAGGCCATTCTACTGTCAATGTTTGTCTATGGAGATTGCATGGCGGTGTGCTCGATTTGATACATCTGTCAGCAACAGATGTGGCTGAAATAGCTAAATCCACTCATTTGAAGGGGTGCCCACATACTTTTGTGTGAGTGAGTTGCCAGGTAACAAGCACAGCCATCCCACTGACAGCCTAGCTGTCACCCTGCTGTTAGGTTTGGCACAGGGTCTCTCTTCTGTCTACAGCTTTTCTTTTTTTGACACCCCCTTTCTTTCTCTATTCTTTCTCTTACCATCCCTCCTCTCTATCTCTGAAAATTCCTTCTTCATTCTGACCATCCCTTCGCTCACTGACCATCCCTTCTTTCTCTGACCAGTCTATTTTCTCTCTCTCCCTGATGATCGTTCCTTTCTGTCTCTCTACCCATCCCTCCTCTTCTCCTTCAGGTGGCCTCCATCTCTATCCACCCCAACTACGACCCCCTGGTTCTTGACTCAGACCTGGCAGTAATCAAGCTGCTGGACAAGGTTCGTATCGGGGAGAAGGTCCTGCCCCTCTGCCTACCTGACACCCAGGGGGGAGAGGTGACCTCCAGAGAAGGGTTGGTGATGGGCTGGGCCCCCCTGCCGGACCCCCGGATTGGGGAAGAGGAGCAGGCCAGGGTGGGTGTGCAGCACCTGGCCGACGTGGTGCCCTGTGAGCAGCAGTACGCCCGTAAAGGGATGCCCGTGAGTGTCACGGACAACATGCTCTGTGGCCGCCAGCGACCCGACTACAGCCCGTCTAACATCTGTCCCGCGGACACAGGAGGTATCCTGATCCTTCCTGCCCAGACAGGCTCCGCCCAGGACCCCTCTCTTGCCTCTCCAGCGAGGCGGGACAAGTCCAAAGGGGAGTGGCGGCTGCTGGGGTTGGTGAGTTTCGGCTATGACCAGGGAGAGTGTGACCCGGACCTGTTTACTGTGTACACACATGTGGCCAACTTCAAAGACTGGATAGAGAGCCATATGAAGTGACATCACCAGGATGTGACTCGCCTTGTATCTCTCTTTTCCTCCCTCTCTTCAACCAACTACCCCCTCTTTTTCTTCATCATTATTTCCCCTCTTACTTTTATTTGCCAACGTCTTTCTCCATTCTCCCTCCTTCCTCCTCCCATCTACCTTCTTCTTGTCATACCCAGGCAGGGAGTGTGGTCAGTAAAGATCAGAGTAACACTGGACTGCACAGTGCTCTGAGCTGACTTTAGGAGGCCCTAACACAAACTGATCAGGTAAAGCTGCGCTCCACTCAGCACAGTACTTCAGTGTTCAGGTTTTACCTAATTTGGTGTTAGACTTGAAAACAATCTGAAAACCAGTTCCCTCAGGCCTCTGGGAAAAGCTGGTTTTCATTGTATTCTTTCATATGTATATATCATGTAATGTATTATTATTATGGCTCTGCACGTGGCTCAAGGGATGTACATATTGTATAGAAGGACAGAAAAGTAATGTTGTTTTTAATTAAAGATATGTGGTTGTGTGTGAAGACACGGTGGTCTGGTTAGAGTTGTTCATCGAGTGTGGTTCTGTGAGCTTTCATCCTGCATTAATTCAAAGGATACCCATGTGATTCTACTAAATAGAATTGAGAGAGAGAACCTGGCACTTGCTATGTAAATCAGACAGCCGTTTGGCCAGGGCCAGTTCTTCAGCCTATGAATTAATCCAGGTAAAATATAAACAATGAAGGGCTGCAATCGAACACCGGCAAACTGAAGTAATTAACAAAATAATTTCCCCTTCTTTTATGTGCCTACACAGTTAATAAAGTGTGTATAACGCAGTTAATAATTTAAGTGTTGACCGCTCTGCAAGCATCTAAAGAGAAAATTAGGGAAGTAATCGATGGAGAAAGTGTAGTGTGAACATTTAGCCACAGGGTGGCAGTTTTAAAATGTCAATTTATATGGAGGGATGCTCTGGCATTGGCATTTTGGTATTTTATTAGAATCCCCATTGCAAAAGCAGCAGCTACTCTTCATGGGGTCCACACAAAACATGAAACATGACATAATACAGAACATTAATAGACAAGAACAGCTCAAGGACACAACTACATCAATTCTTAAAAAGGCACACGTAGCCGACATATCAATACATACACACAAACTATCTAGGTCAAATAGGGGAGAGGTGTTGTGTGGTGAGGTGTTGCTCTGAGACAGGCTCAGCCCAAAGCTCACAGCCAGAGGGACTTGGTATTCACACACACCAAAATGGTACTCACTCCACTTTCTCTCTTACAATGTCTACTACATCTACAAAAAACGACTTCAGAACAAGCCCACAAGCCCAGCACAGATTAAGATCAGCTTGTAATTATCATGACCATATGTGTGTGGTGTGTGTGAAGCACTGTAAGTGTGTGTGTGTCCACTGTTCTCTGCTATACGTTGCAGCACACCTACTGTACCTTTCCCCACCTTGCTCTTTCTTCTCACACTCTCTCTCTTGCACACACACACACACACACACACACACACACACACACACACATGCAGACACACACATGCAGACACACATACGTAGACACACATGCAGACACACACATGCAGACACACACGGTGTCTGAAAGATGAACAGATGAAGGGGTATTTCTACCACGTTGGGGGAGCTGCTGTGTCTGTGGTTGTGTTATCGGCTCTTGGGTTATGAGTCATGAGGATTCTGGGAAGGAGAATGAGCTGGTGATGCTGGTGATGCTGGTGCTTAGGAGTGAGATGTCCATCTGTGATTGTACAGGAATAGGAAGCATCTTGGGAGGTGTTTCGACAACATCTACAAGATTGCATTAGCAAGCTGAGAGACATCACATTGTAGCAAATCTGCTCTTGGCAACAATTACATTCTGACCATAGCCTTCCCTTGGACACTCACTGCCCTGGTAGGAATAGTCTGTACAAAGGATACTTGGAGGGAGATCGAAGTTCAATCAAATCTTTGGGTGGACTGCATCCTAGAGACATTATACGTTCTCTTTCGCACAGGAACAAGATTTATGAAAGCTTTTCTGTCCCCTTTCTCCTCCTGTTTACTGGAAATGGACAAGGTCCTCATTTAGGCCCCAAATTCCCCTGAGGAGAGAGCTCTTCTACCCCGGCTGAAAGCAGACGTATTCTCAGGCCCCTGTTAGTTCATAGGTCAACATCAGTATAGCCGGCCAACACTTCACCACAACTTGACTGTTCTGCTGGGAACTAGAAAATGACCCTGAGACCAGTGGAAAGCACCTGACAATGCTGAGAAAAGTGCTGCGATGAGGGCTACATAGTGTTTGCACTGAAGAGGCTGAGGGGCAAGGCACTTGACACCTGACGTAGGCCTACACATAATGTCAGTTCACAGTCCAGTTTCACAGTCAAACCAAGCTGTACTACGGATTTCGCTAACGTTGCGTGTTCTTTAGAGCAAAGAAAAGAGATCCGCCTTGACTCACTCATTGGAGACTCCAGGGAGAGGGAATTAGACAACAAAGAGATCGCCTTCCTTCCTGTCGACACGAGAGAGACGTGGGACTAGTCTTGTGATGTTCTCAGGGTTCTGCTGTGTCCATGGAGACCATGCATTTACATTTAACCTCCTCGCAGGTGTTCTGTGATGTGTTTACCTCCCCTCGCTATCACTACCACACACACACACACACACACACACACACACACACACACACACACACACACACACACACACACACACACACACACACCTACACATTCACACACACACCACCATCACACCCATCCCCACCCTCCTAGCCCCTGATCTACTCACCCTGCCTGCCTGCCACCCCACTCTTCCTCCCCTTTCCATCTCCATGTCTACCCAATGCATGGCTATGAGGGGCTTTAGGCACCAAACAGAAAACATATATTATTCAGTCATATACATGCACAGAAACATATACAGTACTTGCACACATAAGCACATATATTCACATACCACTGTGCACATACACCCACACACACCAATTCTGTAGTGTATTTAAAGCCCACTGTGTGATTTCACGATCACTCATCCATATGGAGGCCTCTGACGAGGTGGCCAAGCAGAGGTGACAATGTGATTTATTGCTGCTTAGTTTATTTGGTTTCCACTGCAGCAGAAACCATGTAATGGATTCTGAAGCTGGTTACTGCTTCTCACAGAGCGAGAGAGAGACAGAGAGAGAGAGAGGGGTGGGGGGGCTTTCTATGATAGACCGGAAGCCCTGGATACATTGAATATAAACACAGCGCCAGAAGTTGCCTAGAACAGGGGTTCCCAAAGTGGCCAGATCTCAAAATATATACAAAATAATAATAATAATAATAATACAATTAAAAAAATACAAATAAAAACAACAGATTAAAGAAGTTTTGGACACGGGGTCCGTGGAAAAAGTTTAGAAGGTGCAATACAATACAATATAATATTATTAATCCACAATGGATGTTCTTAACCCTTAGATGCACAACATCGGCCTGGGAGGCTCACAGGGATATTGGTATCCACAGTACTCCACAGTATCCCAGTTCCCCAAAAATGTTGTTTTGAACATAAATGCACTGTAATTTAAGCTTTAAAACTGCAAATGGCACACTCTGCCCCATGGCAAAATGTGTAGAATTGCAGGAAATTAGCTTTAAAACTGCAACATTTTCTCTGATGCGAAGAGGAGGGCCTTTAAAATGTTCTTTCCCAGGGCCCGAGACTTGATTAGTCCGGCCGTGCACTGCAGAAGTCATAGTAATACTGCTTGGGTGCTTTTTGTATTGCACTCTAGGGGCTCTATTCAATCCGCATTGTGGAAGTTCAGCGTTACAGCGTGATTGAAATTTAAAGACAACATTCCCGCTTTAGCAGAGACTGCATTCACGGTAAACACTGCATATGTCGGCTCAATTGGAAATTACCTTTACATTTCTATCACGGAATCTGTAATGCTTCAGCTTTACAGATTGAATGGAGCCCTAAAGCAAGATTTGTGTTCTTATACTATGACGGGGTCCCTGATGAATTTGCTATCACAAAAGGGGTCGCAGACACAAAAAAGTTTGGGAACCCCTGGCCTAGAGCCTACCCCTCTACTGGTTACCAGTATTACACTCTGTACTGCTGATGTTGTTTTTGTTTTTAATCCCCCATCCAAAGATGTGGCTTAAGTTTAAGGTTCAGTCTTTAGCTCCATTCAACTCCCACCATACAACACAATATCTATATCTTCCCTCCTTAACCACTCCATACAACACAATTTCTATACCTTCCCTCCTTAACCACTCCATACAACACAATTTCTATACCTTCCCTCCTTATCTATATCTTCCCTCCTTAACCACTCCATACAACACAATATCTATACCTTCCCTCCTTAACCACTCCATACAACACAATATTTATACCTTCACTCCAAGAGGCATTCCTCAGGATCCGGTAACTTATATTTACACTTACGCAGCGACTACCCAGAGGTTCCCTGATCCACTACGTTATGTTACTTAAGATTTTTGATTGATTGATTACTTCCATTGCACTGCTTTTCATTTTTACATTTACATTTTTAGTCATTTCGACGCTCTTATCCGAGCGACTTACATATATCATTATATTTTTTATACTGCCCCTGTGTAATACCCAAACCCTGGCGTTGCAAAGCTATGCTCTATCAACTGAGCTACTATTCCTGCTCATTCCCTCCCACCTGGACGACGTGGGCCAATTGTCTGCGCCTCCAATGAAATCTCCCGCGCTGGCTGCGAAACAGCCTGGATTCGACCGTATTGATTGCCGTTACCATTAGTATGTATCTATTTATCCTGGTACTGGTCACTATTACTCCTGTTTACATGTATATATTACCATTAGTATATTACCATAAGTATTTATACACTGAGTATACAAAACATTAAGAACTCCTGCTCTTTCCAAGACACATACTGACCAGGTGAATACAGGTGAAAGCTATGATCCCTTATTGATGTCACTTGTTAAATCCACTTAAATCAGTGTAGAAGAAGGGGAGGAGACAGGTTAAAGAATACATTTTAAGCCTTGAGACAATTGAGACATGGATTGTGTATGTGTGCCATTCAGAGGGTGAATGGGCAAGACAAAATAGTTAAGTGCCTTTAAACGGGGTATGGTAGTAGGTGCCAGGCGCACCGGGTTGTGTCAAAAACTGCAATGCTGCTGGGTTTTCCATGCTCAACAGTTTCCCATGTGTATCAAGAATGGTCCACCACCCAAATGGACGTCCAGCCAAC